AAGCCCCATACACTACCCACCACTGTGACCTGTACGCTCTTGTTGGCTGGTCCTCACTACATGTTCGTCGTCAAACCCACTGGCTCCAGGCCATCTATAAATCACTGCTAGGCAATTCCCCGCCTTATCTTAGCTCATTGGTCACCATAGCAGCACCCACCCGTAGTCTACCGCTCCAGCAGGTATATCTCACTGGTCATCCCCAAAGCCAACACCTCCTTTGGCCGCCATTCCTTCCAGTTCTCTGCTGCCAATGACTGGAATGAATTGCAAAAATCTCTGAAGCTGGAGACTCTTATCTCCCTCACTAACTTTAAGCATCAGTTGTCAGAGCACCTTACCGATCACTGCACCTGTACACAGCCCATCTGAAATTAGCCCACCCAACTACCTCATCCCTATATTGTTATTTATTTTGCTCTTTTGCACCCCAGTATCTCTATTTGCACATAATCTCTTGCACATCTAGCATTCCAGTGTTAATACTAATTGTAATTATTTTGCACTATAGCCTATTTATTGCCTAACCTCCAGAACTTGCTACATTTGCACACACTGTATATATATTTTCTGTTGTATTTTTTTACTTTGTTTTTTTACCCCATATGTAACTCTGTGTTGTTGTTTTTATCGCACTGCTTTGCTTTATCTTGGCCAGGTCGCAGTTGTAAATGAGAACTTGTTCTCAACTGGCTTACCTGGTTAAATAAAGGTGAAATAATAAAATAAAAGAGTGATGGAGGCCACTGTGTACTTGGGGACCTTCAATGCTGCAGAACTTTTCTGGTAGCCTTTCCCAGATCTGTGCCTCGACCCAATCCTGTCTCGGAGCACTATGGACAATTCCTTCGACCTCATGGCTTGGTTTTTGCTCTGACATGCACTGTCAACTGTGGGAACTTATATAGAAAGGTGTGTGCTTTTCCAAATCATGTCCAATCAATTTCATTTACCACAGGTGGACTCCAATCAAGTTGTAGAAACATCTCAAGAATTATCAATGGAAAAAGGATGCACCTGAGCTCAATTTTGAGTCTCATAGCAAAGGGTCTGAATACTTATGTAAATAAGCTATTTCTGTTTTGTTTTTTTAAATACATTTGCAAACATTTCTGAGAACCTGTTTTTGTTTTGGTATTGTGTGTATATTGATGAGGGAAAAAAATTATTTGAATCCATTTTAGAATAAGGCTGTAACATAATGTGAAAAAACTCAAGGGGTCTGAATACTTTCCGAATGCACTGTATGTGAAAGGGAGCAGAGTTACAGCCTCACTCTATCCAATCGTAGCAGTAGGATTAAAGTTACAACCCGCCCACTTGACAGATAGCTGAACTAGCCAATTGAGTCGTTTCAAATTTTGTCCTGGCAGCCGAGTTGTTTAGAGATATGTCCTGACAGCTTTTTTAAAAATGTTCAGATCATGGAAAATGACACAAAATACTCGTTCCATTAGCATCCGTGATCACAAATCGTGACGTTACATTGGACCATTTGCCAAAATAAGCTCAATAACGGAATGCATGCTCACTCTCCTGTTGAATATGCATTCACCTATATTGTGAGTATGGCGTCTTAATTTACCCAGTTTATCAAGAGATTTACCGTTCAAATAAAATGATTACCGTTATGTAGTTAGGTTGGTAGAAACAAAGTCACATTTGTTTGATTTTAAAATTGATGCATACATGGCTGTCTCTGGGAAATTTTGTCATCAACATTTTCGAATTTAATGATATTGAATATCGGCCTAAAATATTGGCGATCAGCCTCCTTGACCCCCAAAAATCGGCATCGGCCCTAAAGAATCCATATTGGTTGTTCTCTAGTTTTCACACAGCTCATAGTCCACTGAGATCAACGTGGGGCATGGTGTCACAGCCAGGCTATCACTGAAAAGCTAACTGCAAGCCATACAAAGTTGATCCCTGTGGAAGGTTATCTTATCAAGGACATATTTCTAGAGCAGTCACATGTACACCTCTTGACTGCCATTTCACGTCTTTTGAATGCCCACGTTTTGGTCTATTGGTCTCCATCAGAATTCAATTGTTTGAAATGTAAAAATACAAAAGATTGACTCCTGTTGGTTTAAGGCATGCTTTCATAGTAAACAAAAAAAACTGTTCTCCTTCTGCAAAAGGAACTGTTCGGTCATTAGACTTCTGTGCGTGACTGACTGACTTGAATCAGACCGCAGCGAAGCCGTGACCGGGTACAAACCAAATCTGACTGACCTTTCACAGTTCAGATGTTGACTTTAGCTTGGTTTCAACCCATTCTCTACACCAGACATTGATTAGGTTCTCTTTCAGCATGTAGCGTAAGGATCGAACCCTGATGTATGTTGTGCTTTTTACCCAGAAACCCCCAATGCTCAGCGCCAGGAGGAGATGGAATGTGGAGCAGCTACCGCTGATCCCACTGACGATGTCACACAGGTAAGGTAATGATGATGTCACACTGTCCGAGGTAAAGACATGTTACACTGAAGGACAATGTACTCTGTTTGACAGTGTTCAGATCATTGTGGTCTTGAAGTTTAAGTGTGTGTGTATATACACTACATGGCCAAAAGTATGTGGACCCCCCTTCAAATAAGTGGATTCGGCTATTTCAGCCACACCCATTGCTGACAGGTGTATAAAATCGAGCACAAGGCCATGCAATCTCCATAGACAAACATTAGCAGTAGAATGGGCTTACTGAAGAGCTCAGTGACTTTCAACGTGGCACCGTCATAGGATGCCACCTTTCCAACAAGTCAGTTCGTCAAAATTTTGCCCTGCCAGAGCTGGCCCGGGACAACTAAGTGCTGTTATTGTGAAGTGGAAACGTCTAGGAGCAACAATGGCTCAGCTGCGAAGTGGTATGCCACACAAGGTCACAGAACGGGACTGCCGAGTGCTGAAGCGTGTAAAAATCGTCTGTCCTCGGTTGCAACACTCCCTACCGAGTTCCAAACTGCCTCTGGAAGCAACGTCAGCACAAGAACTGTTCGTTGGGAGCTTCGTGAAATGGGTTTCCATGGCCGAGCAGCCACACAGAAGCCTAAGATCACCATGCGCAATGCAAAGCGTCGTCTGGAGTGACGTAAAGCTTGCTGGCATTGGACCCCGGAGCAGTGTACCTGCCCCAATGCATCGCGCCAACTGTAAAGTTTGGTGGAGGAGGAATTATGGTCTGGGTCTGTTTTTCATGGTTCAGGCTAGGCCCCTTAGTTCCAGTGAAGGGCAATCTTAATGCTACAGTGTACAATGACATTCTAGACGATTCTGTGCTTCCAACTTTGTGGCGACAGTTTGGGAAGGCCCTTTCCTGTTCCTGCATGACAATGCCCCGTGCACAAAGCGAGGCCCATATAGAAATGATTTGTCGATTGGTGTGGAAGAACTTGACTGGAATGCACAGAGCCCTTAGGATGAATTGGAACGCAGGCTGCGAGCCAGGCCTAATCGCCCAACATCAGTGCCCGACCTCACTAATGCCCTTATTGGCTGAATGGAAGCAAGTCTCCGCAGCAATGTTCCAACATCTAGTGGAAAGCCTTCCCAGAAGAGTGGAGGCTGTTATAGCAGCAAAGGGGGGACCAACTCCATATTAATGCCCATGATTTTGGAATGAGATGTTCGACGAGCATTGCGCTCCACACTGCCCTCACCCACCCAGATAAGAGCAATACCTATGTGAGAATGGTGTTTATTGCCTACAGCTCCGCTTTCAACACCATTTGTCCCCTTCAAGCTCAACACTAAGCTAAGGACCCTGGGATTGAACACCTCCCTCTGTAACTGGATCCTAGACTTCCTGACGCGCCGCCCCCAGGTGGTCATGGTAGGCAACATCACCACCTCTTCGCTAACCCTCAACATGGGGCCCGATGGGGGTGGGTGCTTAGTCCTCTCCTGTACTCCCTGTTCACCCTGAGCTGAGCTGTAGTCAATAAACAGCATTCTCACGTAGGTGTTCCTTTTGTCCAGATGGAAAAGGGTTGTGTGGAGTACAATAGAGTGCGTCATTTGTGGATCTGTTGTGGCGGTATGCGAGTTGGAGTGGGTCCAGGGTGTCTGGGATGATGGTTTTGATGTGAGCCACCACCAGCCTTTCTAAGCATTTCATGGCTACAGATGTGAGTGCTACAGGTTGATATTCATTTAGACAGGTTACCTTGGCATTCTTGGGCACAGTGACTATGGTGGTCTGATTGAAGCATGTAGGTATTACAGACTGGATCAGGTAGATGTTGAATGTCAGTGAAGACACTTGCCAGCTGGTCAGCGCATGCTTGGAGTATTGATCCTGGTTATCCATCTGCCCCTGCGGCCTTGTGAATGTTAACCTGTTTAAAGGTCTTACTCACATCGGCTACGGAGATTGGAAGAGCTGGTGCTCTAATGCATGGTTCAGTGTTGCTAGCCTCGAAGCAAACACAGATGGTATTTAGCTCGTCTGGTAGCTTGCAGCTGGGTTTCCCTTTGTAATCCGTGATAGTTTGCAAGCCCTGCCACATCCGACGAGCGTCAGAGCTGGCGTAGTAGGATTCGATCTTGGTCCTGTATTGACGCTTTGCCTGTTTGATGGTTCGTCAGAGGGCGTAGCGGGATTTCTTATAAGAGTCCGGATGTTGCCTTTAATCCATGGCTTCTGGTTGGGAAATGTACGTACGGTCACTGTGGGGACAACATCGTCGAGGCACTTATTAATGAATTTGTGTGTTAGGAACAGGACATCAGTGGAGAGGACGGTCTGTCCGAGGAGGAGAAGGCCAAACACAGAGCGGCACGACGCAGAGCCAAGAGGAAGGTAGGCAACACACTAACATTAATTTATACAGACTGTACATACACGCACGCACGCACATGCACACATGCTCACGCATACTCATAAACCTACACACACCAACTCTTCCTGAGCCGTAGTATTTGGTTAAAAACTATGATGGACCTGCTCAGTCCATAGTGAACCACATAGTCAGCACCCAATCTGTGTATCCTGATGCATGATGCTGTTTCTATGTTCCTCTCAGCGTCGACGGGAGCGCAAGAAGCTTGAGCAGGTGAAGAAGCCGGAGAGCACTGACCAGGTAAACTACAAACCAGTATTATATGTATTCTGAATTAATCTGAATCATGCGATGCTTAACAGCACCATTTACAGTAATTTGAAAACAAATGTGTGTAAAAAGGAATGGACCGTTTGCATTTCAGGTAGTTTATGATATGCTGTCTCTACTGTGTTTTCCAGGATGTGGAAGATGATGATGGTGAATCTGAGGAGGAAGAGGAGAAAGATGAGAGTGAGTCTGAAGAGGAGGTAGAGGAAGAAGAGGATAAAGCAGCCATCCCTCGCTCCAAGCAGCCCCCCGTCCCATCGCCAGCCCCCTCAGGAAATAAAGGACCCCAGAAGACCGCTGCACAAACCTCTGAAGAGGTAGGGACAGACTGACTCATTCATCTTGGTAAAGCAATGGCGTAGAAGCCTGGTCCAAGATCTGTTTGTGCTGTGGCACCTTAATTGGGGAGGACGGGCTCATAGTAATGGCTGGAACGGAATAAATACAATGGTATCGAACACATCAAATACATGTTTGATACCATTCCATTGACTCCTTTCCAGCCATTATTATGAGCAGTCTTCCCCTGGCTAGTTTTTAGGGGAGCTGTGTGTACTTGAGAAGGAGTCTTCATATACAAGCTGATGGGCACCTTAGTAAACCAGTCCCTCTCTCCTGTAGGAACCGGAGTGGGATGTGAGCAGTGCGTTCTTTGCTAACGCTGCTAGCTACATCAGGCCAAAAGGCTGGACCAAACCTGGCCGCAAGTCCAAAGAGAATAAGGAGAACGAGGGCAGGACCAGAGAGGTAAGTGGTCCCTGAGTTTTGGGATATCTACATTGCTGACGACTTGCTATTGTAAGAGTGGTGATAGCCAGGATATAGCTAGCTAGCTAGATAGTTGCGGTGGTGGATGTTTTGTCAATAGCTGTCAGTCTGTAAGAGGTGTTGGGGCCAAGGATAGCTAGCTAGCTACTTTTAAGTTGCTATGGTAGGAGTGTTGTTGGCTAAGGATGGCTGGCTAGCTAGCTTGTTTCTGTGGTAGAAGTGTTGGTGGCTATAGGGCACTATAAAATTATTTTTGTAAAACTTTTTTTGAGGTTTCAGATTTTTCTGTTTTTGTAGGTTTTCCCTCTCAATCACACCTTTTTTATTTTATAAAAAAAAGTGTTTTTATGTCCACAACGATGCTTAAACCACATCAGGAGACTCTTTAATTGATGGTTATCATTAGCATCATCGCTAACAGCTACGCAAAGTGGTATACAAATGCACACAGACAGTGTTACCAACTATTAAGACCAGACAACCCAGCTGATTAATTTCCTGCTCTGTGTACAGGTGACACAAATTTCTCAAGATTGTGTTCAGTGTTTTGTGTTCCTTGCATCTGCTATGTTCGCTGTAGTAATTTTTCAGTGAGAATCGCTAGTGGCTCCTTGATTAGTTGCTAGAAGACGTGATGCCGCGATGGGGTCACAGCACCAATTTGCCTTGGTGCGAAACAGCTGCGGTCCCTGATGTAGAGTTTTCACCGCCGCACACCCCCTGCCCCTGTCCTTCTCTGCTTGTGTGTGCACCGTTGCTATGACTTCTGTTGCACAGACGGCTTCTCCCAGTCTCTTTTGTGGTAGAATTGAGTGGGTAAAGTTGCTAAATGCTATATAAACCATAGAAACTCTTTGTGGCAAAACTCCCACAAGAATTTGTCGCTAGCCTCTTTTACCAACAAAAGTCACTGGAGGGGTCTGAAAACTCGCTAAATAAAAATATTGCCAACACTGTTCACACAGGCAGGGGCATTCCCGCATTGCCTCTTCAGAAAGTTGAAGGAAACTACGAATCACTGTTAATGTCTTATGATAATTTAGTAGTGCTGAGCGATTTTTGTGCTTTTTGAGGTCTGTTTGGTCTTGGTTCAATTATTTAAAAAATAATCATGGTTTTCAATTTTGGTTTAGATTATTTTGGTTGAATGCTATAACAGCATAGAATAAAACAATGACTATAAGTCCCATGATGGTAGTGACTGCCCATTATTGCTTATCACTTAACAATAATCTATTCACATTGCTTTAATAAAAAATGTCAGTTGTGTATATTCCATTTATTTTATTCGATTACTTTATTATTTCACTCCAAGTCATCATCTCATCTCTAGAGCTGCTGCATATGCTGTCTGACAAAATCACTATTTTGTAGTTCTTCAAAGTAAATAAGACATACTTTTATGACTGCTGAATACCAACTATCAATCACTTAGATCAGGGGTTCCCAAACGTTTTAACTCTGGGCTCCCCTTCCAGCATTGGGGAACATCCCGCGCCCCCAACGTCTATTTCTATGGGCACAAGCACTGTTCATGACAAACTGTTTACACCCCTCTTGTTGGTGGTGAGAAATTGTTGCAGATTTAAAGCTTATTTCCTGAAATATTACACATTTTGTCATGGGGTGCAGAGAATTTAGTTTAGTTTTAAAGCAGATTTTCTTGCAATTCTATACATTTTGCCATGTCAATGTATTCATGTGATATTTCAGTGACTCAAACATTACAACAAAATCTATGGGCAAAAAAAACCTAGCTGAAAACCGTTAGCTGACTTGAGCTAATTGATCTGGACATTTCTGACAAGTTATAAAAAGGTATGCAATGACTGACATGAGATGATGAGGAAAACTAATGATGCACTACCCCATTTTCGAAATTGCACCTTATGCATTCTAGTATGGACTGAATTCCTTAAACATTTATTTTACAAATTTTAACATTGACTGACTTAGATCAGGGCTTCCCTTGTATAATAATAGTTATATACATTACTTTATACTGGATTAAGTGAACATTTTTGTTAATTGTAATTTTGTTAATTATGTTCAAACATTCCCTCCATCTTGTGCCAATATCGCTTCTTTTTAAGTCCTGGTAACAATAGTTTATATTTTTTTCCAAGAGATTGTCAGTTTGATAGGCTCTCTGCAAGGTTTTGTTTATCTTACCTATGTGAATATCCTTTTCTGATGCTTAGGATAACTTGCTTGCTAGAAGTCACTGTGTGGGTTCGATTCCCACGGGGGGCCAGTATAAAAAAATTAATATGTATTCACTAACTGTAAGTCGCTCTGGATAAGAGCGTCTGCTAAATGACTAAAATGTAAATGTAAATGTTATAGGAATGCTGTTGGCGCTAAGGATAGCTAGGTAGCTAGCTAGTTGGTGAAAGTTTGCTGTTTGATAGCTGTGGTAGCAGTTTTGATTATGGCTTGCTCTCTAGTAGGAGTGTTGGTGATAGCTGTGTTCTCTGGTAGAAGTGTTGGGTTAGTGGATAGCTAGGTACAGTAGCTATTTACTGTGATAGGAGTGTTGGCGATAGGTTGCTGTCAGTAGTAGGAGTGTTGGTGATAGCTAACTGTCTGCTGTAGTAGGGGAGACTGGGGCTAATACGGGGTCAGTTGAAATGGCTAAACTCAATTAGAAACCATTTAGAAAAGTTGTTATTCAATGTGCTAATGCTTGGTTAGTGTGTCCACATACCTGAAGTTTTATGAGTACCCGTCAAATTACTAGTATTTTTTCTTATTGACAAAAGTGTCTTTTTTTTTTAGGCCTAAAGTGAATATTCGTGCCGCCTCCCCTTTTAATTATTGACCTGTGGAACGTTCCCCATGTATCTAATATCATTTTTATCAGTAAGAAGAGCTTTTTGATTGGTATAATTGAAAATAATGATTATTGTACTTTCTCATTAGACTCAAATTAGTAATTGGGGGTCAAATGTACCCCTTACCTAAAGTCTGTTATTTTATATGGTATTTAGACACATTCACATAATTATATTGAATTTCACTTCTTTACATCAAGTTTACGAGTACAACTAAGATAATACCTTAGAAAAATTGAAAAAAAAGTCAAATTCATACTTCTGTACACAACATTTTGGCTACTATTTTGGATACTTTTGTCAATAGGACATGCCTAAAAGATCAAATGAAAAATATGTTTGGTCAATTAAGTGTGTTTTCATTCAAATATCAATTTTCAAATCATTACATTTTTCAATTACCCCTCATTTTTACCACTGAAGACTGTTATAGCTCACATACACTGGTAGGATTGTCAAACGTTTGTTCACACAGCAAAGACCTTGAAGTCGTCAGCCACTCAGGCTTGTTAAAATACTCCAAACCAGAAGGTGGCAGTAGTGTTTTGCAATGCATGTCAGAATGTTGCTTTATGGTCTAGTCCCCTCAAACTCAACTCTGGACCTCGAAGCCAGTTCCAATGCGGTTTTTCATTGTTACCTTCTAATCAGGGACTGATTTTAGACCTGGGACACAATTCATTATCAGCTAGAACAGAAAACCAGCAGGCTCCGGACCTCATAGGGTAAGAGTTGAATACCCCTGGTTTAGTCTGTTAGCTAGCTAGCTGTGCTAATGTTGCTATTGTTGTAGAAAGCCCTTATTGACACTAGCCAGATGGCCACAGCTAGATAACTAGTTAGCAAGATGACAAAGAAACAATTTAATTCACTCTCCATAATTGCATACAGCCCATAGATACATTTTTAGCTAGCTGGCTAAAGTTAGCTAAATTGTTAGCATAATTCGCTAGCTAGCTAGGTAAAGACACTTCTTTGACTCTCGGCAACCAGCTTCAGCCAGCTGCTTTATGGAAACCATTGTGATTTATAATAATAATAATATAATATGCCATTTAGCAGACGCTTTTATCCAAAGCGACTTACAGTCATGCGTGCATACATTTTTTGTGTATGGGTGGTCCCGGGGATCGAACCCACTACCTTGGCGTTACAAGCGCCGTGCTCTACCAGCTGAGCTACAGAGCTAATTTTTACTAGCTACAGTGGCTACTTTATTGTTTGCAGCTTTGTTTTAGTTAGAACAATTCTGATGAAAAGAGTGGATTAGACCAGAAAAAGTGCCCTCTTTCCCTCCTTGTCAATTCTGTCGGCTCCCTAACGTGGAGGTTCATGCTCTCTGATTGGCTCAAAGTAAAGTTGTCGGCCACTGCCGAGCATTGCGATTCTACAAGTAGAAACGGCAGTTTCGTCGGTACCAGGTCAGTACACAGCAGGTACGTACTTTTGCTCTAGCAAGAGAAGAAACTGTAAATTACTTTGTAACAGGAAATACATTTATTTCCACAGAATTAAAAATACATTTTGGACTGACTAATAGTTTCAAATACATGCAACTTAAAAGTTACATATCATGAAATTTCGATTTGAAATCTTTTGGCCATCAGAGCAACCTTGAGGGAATCTTAAACATGATGTCAGAAAATTATGTTCATATGATGGGGAAGATGTACGAAATCTTGCAGAGAGCAGATCCAACTGACAATCTCTTAGGGAAAAAGTATTAACTATTAGAACCAAGACTTAAGAACTGATGTTGGCACAAGATTTAGGGAAAGTTGGAGCATAACTAATGAAATTACAGTTAATTAAAATGTACGCTTAATCCAGTATAAACTAATGTATAGAATTTATTTTACAAGAGACAAAATTCACAAATTCTACAGCACAACGGCAGAGTCATGTCTCAAGTGTAAAACTAACAATGACTCCATAATCCATGCTTTCTGGGAATGCTATAAAGTCTGGAAGTTGTGGGTGGAGCTATAAAGTTGGCTGACAGAAATATTACAATGTAAACTTTTAATCCGTCTGTCTGCATAGTTCAAGACATGGCATATGGGGGTGTAGTGAGAGAACCAATTGCCTGGACGATTCTCTTATCACTCATCTTGAAAAAACTTATACTAAAAACGTGAAGTCAATCAATCCGCCATCATT